CATCTTGGAATATGCCCAATGTGCCATCAGAGAGGAAAAAATCCATTGATGGAAAAACCTGACCATTCAGTATATTCAGGTAGCAGCTGACTTAATTTTTTGGGCACATAACCATTAACAAGGTACACATAACCACATAACATAACCTAGACCTGACCAACTGCAGCAACCCATATAGCTCTTACTTATTTGCTTAGCTAAATCCAGGTAGTGACTTTTTTTGGCCAGTCAGTGTATAATCATATCAAATGAATGCGCTTTAAACGAAATACATTTTACTTAAAAAAAATCACAAATTCATGCAGGTACGTGCTCATTCGTTTTTTTTTTTGTTTTTTTAAAAGCAGCTAGTGTACATACCTAAAACTGATTTGATATCAGACACCTATGATCCTTGTACAGACAAGTCCTGGAAGAGGAAGAGGCAGCACAAGGACCTAATCTATGGTGCTGATGCACCCATATGCTAACAAGGGACATGCTGATGGAGGAGGAGAGAGCAGAAAAATGGGCCCATGAATTTGCTGGCTCTCTTTTACTCTCTAATCACGTGCTGGGGGCAGGGACAAGACAATTATATTACTTAACCGCGGTAAAGAAATGTCAGGTCTCCAGGCTGCCTGTGACGTGTGGCAGAGCTCAGTAAATCTTTGGAATGGATGGACAGAAATACTAATCCTTGGGCTCATATACAGTATATTTATTTTATCATTGTATATAGATGTTTGCATTGAGTTCAGCTTTAACTGTAGTTGGCCTTTAAACAAACATCCTAAAAGCTTCATTTTTTACAGTACATTTTTTGGCTGTCCTAAATTTTAATTTTAGCTACAAAAATGTTCTGATCACCCATCACCAATGCATAATTTATACGTCTTTTGGAATAATTCAGCAGGTACAGCATCTGCTGGGTGTATAATATGAACAGCTGGAGGGTCATATGACCAGGTTTGGTCGTGTTCCAAAAATCTTTCAGTTGCCAGTCACAGCCCTTTGTGCTGCTTTATCTGTCAGCCCAGGCCTGTAGGTGCACGGAGCTTCGGGTTTAAGCCGCCATCTCGTACGCCAGTCGGCCACGCCCCCCCCTTTGTGCTTTTTATTTCTACTTAAAGGTTTAAGCATGACTGCAGACCCTCGCTATGAAAACTGCGGGAAAGAAAAGTGCGTTGCCTTTAGCATTCCCTCAGAATCCCGGTTTTGTTACCGTAAGGCAGTATAGACAAGGAGAGGAAGAATCTGTTTTTTATCACTGTTGCTCTTTGGGATTTCCTGTATGCAAATAGTGAATTCTGTGCTCCGTTATGTCCAGTGAAATTCAAAAAAGGATCCCTAAAAATTGAATAGTTGTCACTGACACCCTAATGTTTTCATGGATCCAATTTTCACATTCAGTCACCACGGGGTATATGTATTAAGGATTTTCTGTCAATTTGGGCAATTAGTCCTTTGTCTCAAATTTTACAGTCACATTCACCCTATTTATAACAATGTGAATGTGCACCAGGCAGTGACTTTCACCCAGTGAAAGTCATTGTTACAGTAAGCCGTAAAAACGGGCTTTTAACTTGATGAGTGAATTTGCTGACCTGAGCTCTCCATAGTGCTGAAACTGTTTTTGTTGTTGTTTTTTTGTTTTGTTTTTTTTACATGGTTTCAGTGCTAGAAGGAATACATTTATGTTTTTACTATATAAAAAGATTTCTAAAAAAAAAAGTGCCCCCCTCCCCTAATCCAGATATAATAATTCTGACACACCAGACCTGGTATTCCTATGGCAAGGCAGCAGACGGTGTGCAGCTACCTGCCATATAGATTACTGTAGAGTTTGGATGCTCTGGCGGGGGGGGGGTGAAAGGGGTACCCCAATAAAATGGGGTACCCTTCTCACGCCACTGGTGCTCAGTGCTAATGGGCACATTGCCCTTCAGCACCCCCGGTGGCCAGGAAAGGGTGTCTGCAAGGAGGGGGAGCCATATGGATGGTTGCAATATGATTGAAGATGTATCGAAATGTTTGAACTGCTTGTCCTGTAGTTCACATGCTGCACAGTTTGTTATTTTAATGTGGTATGTCCACCTGTGTGTACGTGATGTTGTGTTCCACCAACAATGATACTCCTGAGATAAATGGGTTGATGCTGAAGAGCAAAGGGGCATATTGCTCTTCAGCACCCCCAGTGTCCAGGAAAGGGTGCCTGCAAGGAGGGGGAATATTATATGCCATGTACCTGTCCCCCCCATTGGAGACAAGTAGGTGATCACCTGATGAACCAGTTTTAGGGGTCATTTCCATATAATGTCTCCCTTTCTGGTGTACAAGACATTTCCACTGTGGATGGTAGCAATATAATAGGAAATGTATCTGAATCTTTCTGCTGATTGTCCTACAGCTTACATTATGCTCAGTTCATTATTCAATATCATATATCTATTTGTGAGTACATAACATTGTGTTCCACCAACAATGAGACTCCTGAGAAAATTGGGCTGATTTACTAAAGGCAAATAGATTGTTCACTTTGCAAGGGAACTTACACTTTGCAGGGGAGTTTTCCTCTTAGTTTAGTGAATGAGGTGAAGCACTGCTGACCTCTATCACCTAATCATGTGCAAGCAAAAATACTGTTTTTTTTAAATGTTTCTTGCACATGATTGGGCATTCCTTGCAAAGTAAAATTTCACCACATACACCAAGCTTAGGGAAACTGTTCCTGCAAAGTGTATGTTCCTTTGCAAAGTGAACAGCCTATTTGCCTTTATTTAATCTACCCCATTGACTTCTACTCGATTCAAACACTGAAAGGCAGGGAGATTTATTGACATGCAGTGTTATATCAGTCTGCTAGGCAACCCTGCAGGTCACTCTACCATATGCGCCCATGCTCAGAGGGCTCACGGTGTCCCAATATGTGAAATAATGTAGTGCATTGTTGAGTATATTATAAACAGAATACCATATAATGAGGCCAGATATTAAACAGATGTAAAGGGAACCTCTCCATCACAAGCAATAACCAATCCAACCCAGGAAAAATCACTATATAGATAGAAAAATATCTTATCTTCATATGGTTTACCGATGAACAACTCTATAATGGCCGGCAATGAAAAGCTTCTCAAAGCACACAACTTAAAAATTATAAAGCGGACCCATGTACACTTCTTGTAAATGTTTGTGACAATGATAATTGGATAGATGTTATAAAGTCATACAGTGATATTAAAAATGTTAATTATAATGTAAATGTGCAGTATGTAAAAAGCTGTTGGTGCTATAAAAATACCTGTAATAAATATTAAATAAATAAATTATAAGCTAAACACCATGCAATGTGACACAATTAGTTGTAAATCAGACTACCTTTATTTCCAGCAAAGTCCCTGCGTCAGGTTTATAGTCCTGTGCGACTGTATTCCTGCTTGGGTAAGTGCAACAGTTTGCAACGTTCCGAAGCAGCTTTATGATGATGCAAGAGATGCAAAATTAAGAAGTGGTCAGGGTCAGGTTTTATTCTGTTGCAAATCTACTTTAAAGCAGCTACGTAGCCTTGTTATAAATCTATTGTGTGATCTGTCCCACTGCTCCTGTTTAACATTGGTTTGATGTGCAACAGAATTGATAAATGTCCCCAATATTTTTATAGTACACCCATCAGTAGAATAATCTTTCTAGGCTAGCTCCAGGACTAGAATGCTTGTGCCATTTGCATGTCTTGTGAAGCATCCTGGGAGACCAAAATCCTGGGGTGATCCAACATGCAACATTTCACTCCATACACCTTCATATTGGCCCATCAGTATAATGGGTGCTCTTACTGGCCAATGGGGAGGGGTAGGAGTAAGGGAGCAAACAAGCTCTTGACTCTACCAGGAAGTACTAATATTCAGGAGGTTGGGGGCTAACTAGTGGCGTATCCAGGGTATGGCACTGTATTATTATTATTATTATACAGGATTTATAGCAGTGCCAACAGTTTGCGTAGTGCTTTGCAATATAAAGAAGACATTACAATACAAAGTAAGACAAGATGGTAAGGAGGGCCCTGCCCGTGAGAGCAGGGCACGTGCCTTGGGCACCACTTGAAGGAGGGGCGCTGCTCTGTGGGTCAGTAAAAGTTTGCTGACCAATGAAGATAGCTGACTTTTTTCTCTCGTGCCTCTCCCATACACATCTCCCTGCCTGGCTTTTAGCAACCAGGGATGCTGTGGCCAACATCCCGCCCAGCTCCTGGCAACTAGTGGCGTCACTCGGTGGGGCGCCGGCCAGTGTTTCCCAGATTGCTAAGAGCCAGGCGAGAGATATGTATGACCCTTATACATCTCCTCACCCAGCTCTTAGCCAGTGGTAGCAACCTGGGACTGCTGTCAACCAATGACCTTACTGGTTGCCAGGAGCTGGGCGGGATGCCAGGGGCGCAATTTGTTGTAGATTGTAGATAGTTTTAGCACCATAACCCCTTTAAGACTAGAATCATAGAGTAAAGAATAGGGTATATGAAGGAGACTAGCTGAACTAAGGGCTAAACCAAGTGCAAAGCTGTTGCAACCAAGCTGACTGAACCCATTTTCAAACAAGCCCTAGACAGAAAAGGCTCTTTGCTATAAGAACTAGAGACTTTTGTGTTCTTCTCTGCAGGCCCACCGTACTGCCTTTTTTCTTTGCTAATAAATACTATATTTATGTACATGTTTCAATATTGATAATGCGCAACCAGGGAGAGTTTGCTTTTTTTTCTCCAACTTAAGGTTAAACTATTTTGATGAAGGAAAAAAATGCATTCAGAGTATGCTAAGCATTTCCTTTTTTACAGAAATTCTCAATTACACAGGCTACATTGTTTCCATGGCAACCTCTTCCAACTAGGTCTTAATACAAGCTAAAATGAAGTCGTTGGTGTAATAGAATGAATAAAAGACTTTGACATAAAACTTTATTTCAGTATTTTCTTTCACCTTCAAAAAAAAATGACTTATTTTTTTCCTTGACATTGTCCTTTGCAGAGAGTGAACCTGTCATTTGATTTTCCATTCTACGGACATTTCCTGCGTGAGATAACCGTGGCGACTGGGGGTGAGTAGTTCGACTTTTCCTAGTCACCTTTGTGAAATGCTGAGTGAATTTTCTGCAGGACCTCTATGAAATAATACACCTGTGGTGCTTCTTTAGCGGTGGGAAGGATGGAAGTCAGATGAGGCTTTGAGAAAACTGTTTTCAAGAGAAGTTAGGAGTTTAAACCCGGGGAGAATAATCGGTGCGCTTTATAATAGTCAAATGATTGGAAGCTTTTAAGTAGAAAATTCATTTTCCATGGTTTCCTACCGGTGATTATATTTTCCTCTTCTGTGCTTTCCGGACATTTCCCGGGAAGTTACCAGCGTATCCAGTGTGTGGACAAATTCTATACTGTGATCATTTATTTTTCTTAAAAATAATGCAGTTGTTTTGTGCTTTTCAGCCCTGGCAGGAAAAAAAAAACCTATTGTACTAAGACTGATAGGTTGGTGTTTCTAAATTCTAGTTTATGGTGGCACCATCAAGGCATAAGTTGCTGCACTTTCCAAAGACTATTGAGTAATACCATTAGGGTCAGATTTCCTTATAGCACTGCCATTTTATAGCAGAAAGCAGATTAGCAGAAACCCACACTGTGCTCTGCATTTTACATACCATTTTTAAAATGAAGAGCATGTTGTGGAGCCTTTGATGTCCCACAGAGTTCTCACTGCTTGAAGCGGACTTTGCACCAACAAACAAATTACACTTAGGGGCTAATTATTGGCATAGAGCTGAAAGCACTATCCATACTCCGTTATGCACTGCAGGGCTTTGCTCCCCACAGCCTGCAAATATAGCCCATTTATAAAATACAGGGTGTGGTGTGGAGTTTATGGAACCCCACAGAGTTCTTTCAGCGGAGAGAGCTTGTGATTGAGCAAGGCATACAAAGGAAGTACTATCCTGTGCTCTACAAGTCCCAGCATTCAGTGCATTTAACGAAATGCTCCTTCATTTCCAGTTCAGAGTAAAATACCCACTCCCCCCATTCATTTTTTTAGCCGAAGCTCAGAGGGATAGGTGACATCACCCGCTCCTTCATGTAACAGTGGCTATGCTGAGCTCCCTGGATAAGTAAGGTGACATGATCTCTTTAAAAATAAGGCCACCTTAAATGGCAGGTTGAAGGGCACCTGCTCGTTTTATGTTTTTCATTCCAATCTCTAAAGATAACCTCCCAGCATTGTCTCTGTTTACAATGCAATGCATATATATATATATATGTATGTATATACATATATGTATGTATGTATGTATGTATATATATATATATATACAGGTGAAACTCGAATAATTAGAATATCTTTTAATTCATGCCCACCATAAGATCAATGTATTCCTCGATATTCACATCAGATGCTTTTTATGCTTACACTATCAAAGAATGATATCTAGGACTCCCAGCCTTCGAACCTTCCCTTAGAAGCCGATATAATTGGCAAAAGAGATGGACGCAGCAAGGGACTTGCTTACAGTCATTTGTTTTCTATAGCCATGCCTGCCTTCTCAAAAGGAACATGCAAATGAGCCAGGAGGCTGGGTAGTTTTAAGCATTCTAGGTGTCTTAATAAAGATGACAGAAAGGAACAGTATTGAATGGCTGAAATTACTTTGACATTTTTCTACAATTGTACATTGAAAATATTAAAGAGAAATTAATAGCCTCTTTTAGAGTTATTCAGATGCTGAAATTGCCTTGCAACGTAAGTAAGAAGAAAAGTTTGATAGCTTATTATAAACTCTTGCGGGGACCTGACTAAGATAACGTTGAGAAAATCATTACAATTTATGAAAATGACCTGTAGGAAAAAAGAGTCAGGAAAAAAGAGTCAGATGGTTCACATTAAGGTCACGTGAAAATTATATTAAAGTGCATTTCCACTTTTGCAGCTAAATTGGATAACAGCTATTTTATATTTGTTACATGTTCCCATTCAGATCACAAAACTTAAAAAAAATTGCTTTTTCAAGGAGAACTATGGGGAAAAACACTGACCCCCATAGTTCTCCTTTAAGTGCTTTCTACTTGCTTATAAATCCTACCTTGCCTTCCCTCTATGTAATGTTAAGGGGTGGCTGTGGGAAGTTAGGTTTACTCTAATTAACCCTGTCTATAGATCTCATTATTAGACGTAAACTAGATTTGAACACTCCATTGTAACAAAGGGTTAAAGACTTAGAAGCATTGTAGGTTAATGAGAGGAAGCTCAGTTTGTCCCTCTATGTTAACCTGCTCAGAGTGGCCTGGAATGTGCATGAAGGCCATCACCAAAGAAACATCTGAAAGGTATGAAATATTAAAAAAAAATATTTGAAGTATCCTGTGTGAATGTGAACACATAACAAACATATAGTGGGGGGTTCTCAAATGTGACTGCAAAAAGTGGAACTACACTTTAAAGTGTATCTCATAAAGTGATAAAGATAAAGAGATAAAGTATATCTCTAAAATTAGAAAACTACTTTTGTTTCTAATTTTGGATACAGTGTGGAAGGGTAGACCCTCTGATATGCTTTTACTGCTGTCTGGGTTCCCACTGGGGGGATTCACCACTCAGTTTCTACTGATGGCCATTGTTACCAAGAAAGAAAGTGTCACCAGAACAAGAAGTAAATAGATGGGGAACATATGTTCCAGGGAAAGCTGTTTAAGGCCCCTTTCACACTATCCAATCAGGAGGGATCCGTGCACAGATCCCCTCCTGATCAGAGAGTGGTACAGATCGGATGTTACCTTTGTGCGTCCAGTTTTTTTTTCCAACCTGCGAGGAAAATATTTAAATGACCGGACCCCACGTCAGTCTATGAGAAATCAGAGGCAAACGGACAGGTGTCCATTTATGTCAGAATACCCCCAATCCAGCAGGATCAGGTCCATTGAAATAGAACACTGTTCCATTTGTTTTTCCGGACCTAGCAGGAGTCAGGGGTAACCGGGTGTAAACGACCGCCCATCCGTTTAAGACCTGGCTGACATTACATTGACTTACATTGGGCATCCAATTGTGTCTGCCTGAAAAACTGACTGACTGACCCGATCGGACCACCCATGTGAAAATGGCTTGGGGGGGAGGGAGGTTCCAATCCCTAACTTCTGGGATAGGAAGTTAAGGCAAATTTCTCCAATGATACACAAGCAAACAAACAAAATAATCTTGCAAGAAATGTAACTCTTCCTTGCTCTATCCAAAAAAAAAAAAAAAAAAGTTTGGCATTGGATATACTTTAATACGTATATTGATACTTTTTATTTAAAGCTGAACAAATAACTCTAACATAAACATATGAAAATAAAGTTCAGTTTAGTTTTCATTTATATGAACTTTTGTTCTTGTACACAACTGGCTACCCACAGTCCAGGCAATCATTCTGCAATGGAACACCATTGCTGGAGAAGCATTGATCCACTGCTAATATTTTCTTTTTATATGCTACGATTATTGCCTTTTTTTTTATAATGGTAATATAACAATCATTTTCTGTAACTGGCAACCTATTTTCTATATTCAGCATAATCAGTAGAAGATCTTTAAGCCTTCTGTTTTGCTGCTTTCAAAAAAGACGGCCTCACACAAATCTCACCCATCTCCTCCCATCTCCATCAGCTCACCAATTTAAAAGCTAGATCAAGGAAGGACAAAAGAATAAAGGAATACAATTGCTATTTATACTGGAACATACTGAGGTCATCAAGATAATGAACTGCGAGATTTTTATTTTTTGTGGCTTGCATCAATTTGCACTGTAATAAGGTGGAGGAAATGTGTTATATGTCTCTTATTGACCGTAAACCTTGTATTGTAAGAAGAGAGCACAGCTTCCATGTTTTACCCTCTTGATAATGAGTGTTAGATGTTGAGGAGTCATTTATCAATGTCAGGGGTGATGAAAATAGTAAACCAAGCACCGAGAAAAAAAAAACAATGGTTTTTTTTTGTGTGTGAAACATTTATTATAAAGTATGCATGGGCATAGAATGGTCATCATCCAATCCAAATATACAAAATGGGACCAATTTGCAAAACCTTTGTTTTAGGTCATATCCGGACTGATTTAACTTAATGGCTGGTGGGTGCTGTCATCTAACTGGATCCAGGTACAGGATGACTTCATTGCCTCAAGATGTCATTGTGTGTGGCTTCCTTGATGTGACCATATTTTAAAGGGACGCTATTATTAAATCCTATGCACACATTCTTTGTCCTTTGCAAACTTCCTGTGTTATCCCAAATAGCCTATTCAGCCTTCCCTGTTCTTATGTTTGACTTCAGAATAATTATCTTTTATGTTATAGTGATCGGAGAGTGGTCAAGTAGTTTAGCAAAAGACACCAGGCAGGGCTGACACCACTCAAGCTGTGAGACTAAACTTTTTTCTGGCAGTTCAACATGCATTTTCTTCTGGACTTGCAGGGTCTCTAAAGAGATCAAATTCAGGGAAATGTGCATGTATGGCAAAGATGTACTGCATATGTTTTCTTTTTATTTTAATATGCCTTGACATATGCTTTAGGGTGCAAATTTCTTCTGAAGAGCCTCTGACCTCCTTCTGTCCTTCTGAATTATTATTGTAAAGCCTCTTACCTCCTTCTACCGTGCTTCTGATATCCTTCTTAGCTGCTTCAAGCTGATTTTAGTTGCTTTTTTATTCCTATTGACTTTCCATGCAAACAAATGTACACAAGACTTAAAGTAAACATTTTATTAAAGGAGAACTATGAGGTGAGTGATTTTCACACAACCTCATAGTTCGAGCCGACGTGTGACAAACAAACTGTCACACGTCGCCTCAATAGATCGGGAAGTGAGCGAACACATACTGTCGCTCACTCACTTCTCGATCATCTTCCTGCAGAGAGCAGTGACTGTCACTCACGGCTCCCTGCAGGGATTCTCCCCCCTCCCACACTCCGATCCTCCAGCGCTGACAGGAGGAACGCATAGGGGAGGGGGCGGGTACAGCTGGCTCTGCCTCTAGATAGGCAAAGCCTGGTGTCACTCCCGCAGCTGGGTGGA